CATGTACGTCGTGTACACAGAGCAGAATTGCCATTCGTACATATGAATAATTAATTAGCCATAATTCCAAAACCCTTTGACCTATAGTCATGAAATTTCTTGGATATGTTTAGGAAGAGTTGCTCTATGCATGTGCCGAGTTTCAAAATTTTTCGTCACTCGATCGCCAAGATCTTAGGCGGGGGGGGGGGGGGGGGGGGGGGCGAATCCCCCCCCCCCCCCCCGCTGAGGGATGGTCAAAATAACCCGGCCCCTTTAGGGTTAAACAATTGCAATCCAGAGTTTTGCTTCAAATAGCACAGTTTAAATAGCTCTTGAGATTTCTGGGAATGACGTCACGATGACGTCATCGAGTCAGATTACAAGCATCAAAGGTTTCTAGATTTAATCCTTGAAAATCAATATATATAATCAACTGTGAGATATCTGATTTTACAGGAATTGATAGAATAATCAAGCGTCTTTATTTTTGATATTACGTGCAAATTCACGAGACCCTTCCTTCTGGTACAAACCGGAAGTGCGTTATAATTTGAAAGTGGAAAAAGATGTGAACTTGCTTTTGGATCTGGCTAGGTTGTACTTTAGAAGAAAAAAAAACTACCGGTGATGCATAAAATGTTAGAGCGCCCTCTTGTTGCAGGTTGAAAAGGTGTTAATGCATTTTCAGTTGATTATTGTTGCAAAGCTTATCACATATGAAATAGATGCGGTCCGACCATTCTGCGCTTGTAACTTAACAAACGCGAATCATAATTATCACTCTTTCAGATTTCAATGTTGATTTAAAAAAAAATTAAGTTCCAATCCAAATAGAACTTTGACAGCTATTGTTTGTTTTTACATCGTGACTCATACAGGTCCACTCGGCATCGCAGCTACCCGCGCCGGCGATCGTTTGGTGGTTGTTGAGGAAGGCGCATCCCATGTGAAGGTGTTCAACAGCAACAACACGCTGGCATATGAGTTCCCAACGGTGCCGCCGAGTGACGAGGTCGATAAGACCGCAGTTGACCTCCACTCTGTGGCAGTCAAGAATGACGATACCATCGTAGTGGGTGATGCCAGGAGAATGGTGTTGACTGAGCACAGCCCCACTGATGGTGAGCTCCTACGCACCATACCAGTCAAGATTAAACCTTACTTTCTAGCTGTTGATGACAGCAACGATAGAATTGTCATCAGTGATAAATCGCAGGCAGTGGATGTGGCTGATGGCAATGGCACTACACGACGCACTATCAAACCCACCATGAATGATGAACCAGTACAATACTGCAACGGTGTGTACACTGATAGCTCAGGTATCTATGTTGCAATGGAAAATGGTCCTAGCACGCGTCATATCCACCACTATGACCCTCAAGGTGGCTTTCTCAAGTGCATCGCACAGGGTCTGCATGCCCCTTTGGGAATCACACTCACATCAGACGGGCAGCTTGCAGTGGCTGACTGGTACTCGATAAAGATAATTCACCATGTTGCTGTGACGCTGTAATCAGACATGTAATTTCACATTTATAGTTTTTGTTTATGAGTATGGAAAAGCGCATGAATACCAAATCAGCTCTGGAATAATCTTAATAATTGGCAAAATAAAAACTGAAGTAAAGTATTCGGGACACCAACATGCATTGAAACAATTTGAAAATTAAGCCTTTAAAATGATGTATGTTATATAAATAATTCATATGTGAAGACTTTGATAAGTCATTAATTAACACTATACTGAATAAATCTGAATAAATCAATATATCTGAATAAAACCCTGTCATCTGATTGGTAGGTCGTTGTTCACGTGGCATTAAAATGATTGATCCCAAGTTAACACATGGCCCGGTTTCATCGCAAAAATAGAAGTTCCATTCCACGGTAAATAGTAGTTCCATTGTACTGTCATACTACCACATAATCAGATTCAAGAATTTATTCAGGCGCTGTATAAAACAAATAATTCCGTATTAAACATTTTGTGCAACATAAAGAATAATTTAATTCGGTGTTAGATGGTATGTTAATTTCCTAGGCTTTGCCTTGCCGAAAAGATGATTATATCAGGTATGCAACTTTTCCTCGGATCAGCTGATTTCCTCTTTTTTTACTTCCCATGTGTGCCATTGAAAATAGAAAAACACTGTACAAAGTCGGGGGAAAATTTGAATTTCCTCTTTTTTTGTGATTTCCCAGTTGCATGCCTGTTATATCTGTAACCGCCATAAACTATTCTTACCATTGCACACATCAATATTTATTGTATATACTGTAGTTCAGACTACCCCGGGTCGATATCCAGGAAATAAACTCCCTCTACCTAAATAATGGTTACATAGAAATTCATCCAAACTATGTTAAAGTGCTGAAATGTGGCATATAGGGCCTACAGTAACGATTCGACCTTCACTTATAACACTGTGCAGTTTTTTTTGCCGATGAGATTTTTTTCTTGCCATTTTTTGCCGAAAGGAAGGGGAATATGGGGATATTCAAAACATGTATTTTTCCTTTTTTTTGTTCACAGTGTAGGTTTATATATAGTCTTTATAAAAAAAATCACGTGTCAACAGAAGCTACATGCACTACCGTGGAAGGTGCTAAAACTATTTTAAAATCAATTTCTATTACGTCATCGTGACGTATTGTCATTATTTGCAGACCAGGAGAATGTGCTACACCAAGTCGTCACCGTTTTCACGAAGAGCCACATATGTCGATTTTGAAGAAAAAGTGTTTTCGAGATAATCGCAAATGAAGTTTCTCATATTTTAAAACTGCAAAAAATACCACTTTGCAACAACTTTGTGAAGCAAGGAAACCATCACACTATTCTGTGTGAGCTGAATATTTACATGAACCCAGTAATAAGACTTAATTCAGCAGTTAATTAGTGAAAATTAATTAGTAGTGGCTCTTCGTGAAAACGCAAATTCAGGTTTCCGACATATTGGCCCTTTCTGTTCAATGTGTATTTCCATAGGCGCGAGTGAGTACGCGCGCGCAGCTGAAAATGTTACAAAGATATAGATATTATATGTGGCTCTTCGTGAAAACGCAAATCTCATTTGACCTACTTTTACGTATTTTCGTGCAATGGGTTTTGTACGCGTTCAAAGGGCCAATATGTATGTGGCTCTTCGCAAAATTCATTTATCGAGATTTTGGCCCCTTGCAACATTAATGTAACTTGGAAATTAATGATGTTTTGCTTATAGAAACATGTCAAAATGAATACGTACATTGTTTTAAAGTAAAATATTGAAAAAAAAATCAAAATCGAAAAAAATGTTATTTTTGACATATGTGGCTCTTCGTGAAAACGGTGACGAAGTGTCATAACGATTCGAAGTTATGAATTAATTAATAATTATAATTATTAAAATTCTTGTCAATTTGATCACAAGTTGGTTATTAATTAACAAACTGATTACAACCTATCAAGCAATAAACAATTCGAATGAACTATGGAGCATTCCTTGTTATTCCATTCCTAATGGACATTCTGACATATCCTTTTTTTTCTATTCAGTGTTTCACCTATAAATGTCAACTGCTTGGTTAAATGGGGGGGGGGGGATATTATGATAATGCCCCCTTTCCTTCCCCAACCAGAAACGGCCTTTGTAAGTTGTATTTTTTTTCCAGTTAGCTATGGCTTCGGCCTACTAGCTGTTTACAATTTCTTAAGTCAATGGACACAGCGAGACATTCAATGGGGCCCAACTGGGAAAAACTGCAATAGATTTTGCGATGTGTGCCCCCATGATATTGTGATGAATCGAGAAGACTTCGAGTTCTGTTACAGAAAAAAAATGCAGAAAACGCGTGAACATCGTGACAACAGTTGTCAAAAAAAGAAGTAACTTGAACCATTGATGCACCTGATGTGACCGATTGCTGAGAAAAGTCACCGCATACACTCACTGAATGATAAATGTTGTCCTCGGAGGAATGATTCTGCATTCCTTTAGTGTGACCCTCTGTCTCCGTATTCACATCTCGAAAAGAAAAAAAACACCTCGAGAGAAAGACGGTTTTAAAGAGGGGATCTTCTTGGTATATCAGTTTGGAAAACACATCGGGATCTAAAAGGCAAGACACAACGAGCTTTATTTACCATGACCAAAAAGGACACGAACACACAGACTAAACCTCCGAATTAATTACCACCCCAAGCAACTACCAATCCTTAAATCTTAATCAGTCTCTCCAAGTCATTACCATTATATTTATATTGGCTATGACTAATGCACGGCCATCTCATCCATTTGTATTCCAATTGTTAACACACGCCACGATTCTAAATTTCAGCCTCCAGGCCTATGTGATTGTAATCATTTTAGAAATTTCGGAACATTGCGAGCAAGTTTTGGTGAGCGGGCTATATCCCCCGATCCACCATCATGGGGGGGGGGGGGGGGGGCTTTCAGCTGCTTAATAATGGCGTCGGATACCAGGGGCGTCAATCGCTTCTCAAAAGTGGGGGAGGAGGGACATACCTTGATCAGAACTGATGGCGCGAAGCGCAAAGCCCTTACGGCGCGGCGTGAGGTTCAGGGCCCGCTTAAGGGCCCCCAAAAATGGATTATAAAATGCTCTGTGGTCTCTGTATGTGTGCGTGTGTGGGGGGGGGGGGGGGGGGGGGGGGACAGGTCCCCCTGTCCCCCTCCCCCCCCCCCGCCCCCAAGGATTGACGCCCATGCGTGATACTAAAAATAATACAGTTTATTCTCAAATTGCTTTGGAATGCCGGGGAATTGCATCATCAAAAAATCCGAGGGGCATGACGCAACCCGGTCAAACAATTTAAAGAAAAAGAACTGACAATTATGATTATTTCGAGGAGGAAAAATAGGGAAAAAAAACATTCAGTTTCAATACATTGTTCGGTTGTTCCTTTTTCATAGCCCCTTACAAGATCATAAATGGTGCAGCGGTACGTATAACTACTTTTTTGCACAAAGCACGTGCCTCGGCCTAGTTTCAAATTTCACACGTCACGCGCATGCGTACTCTATAGGTCTCCATCTTGCTTGGTTTTCTTCGACGGATAGGCAACGTTTTGAACCCCTAAATATCTCATTTTGACCGATGCATCATGTCTCAGAGACCCGTTCATGATATTTCTTAACACGCAAAGAGTCATTTTTGCCAAGAATTTATTTGCAAACGGTTTGTAATTTGTGTTTTGGATCCATGGAAATCATAGAAACGGCAGTTTCGGCAGACTGCCAGACTGCGTTCAGAGCGACGACATTCGGCCCATCTGATAATGTGTCGCTGCATAGGTAAACGAGGTGAGTTTCGAGAAAGCATAATTATGTACCATGTACATGTAGTCAATTTTTGTAATGATTGTTGAGGGTGGGCGGGGGGAGGGTGCAGTGGCGTGGCCAGGAATTTTTCATGGGGGGGGGCCGCTGGGGGGCTGGAACATTTAATGGGGGGCATCATGTAGATTAGCCCCATAAATGTGGCCTATTTACTGGACTGCCTCCGTAAACATAGGCCACACATCCACATGTACAAAAAACGTGTCGACTTTGCCAAATTTTGATTTTCACATTTAGGCATACTTTTTACGTTTTTTTGCTTTAGAAGCATTCTCACCCTCTATATAGGCTAATCAGAAAGTGCTGCCTTTTTCAGATGTCCATTTTTCGTGAAATTTCCAGATACATTTGCACACGTTTGCGTATCAACATTTCAGCATGAAATTTCACAAAAATTAAACATCTGAAAAAGGCAGCACTTTCTGATTAGCCTATATAGAGGGTGAGAATGCTTCTAAAGCAAAAAAAATCTACAAAGTAAGCCTAAATGTGAAAATCAAAATTTGGCAAAGTCGACACTTTTTTTGTACATGTGAATGTGTGGCCTATGTTTACGAAGGCAGTCCAGTAAATAGGCCACATTTATGGGGCTACATGTAGATCAATGATAATTTTTTTAGAAACTCAAAATCTCAGTGGAGGGGGGGGGGGGGGTGCGCGACTGGGGGGACAAGGTTTCATGGGGGCCATGGGAGGGTGGTTGTGGGAGGGGCAGGGGCCGGGGAGGGGGGGTGTGTGGAGGGGGGGGGGGTAGTTTACCTCGCATTGCCCTCCATGACATTTTTACAAGGCTATATTTCCCTTACCCAATGTATGGTTCTCATTTCATTTCCATTCTGTACTGATAATGTAGACATTGAGTCATTGCAACTGAACCTGACCCCACACTTTATGCTCTTGCAATAACAGATCTCAAATGTCAGTCATTGCAAAAAATGTTGAAAAGAATAGCACTGCAACCTGAATCCTCCAATTTCAATATGATTTTGTGCAACCCCTAGGGAGTTAAGGGGAAATTAATCTGGGACAGCGAGAGACATTTCCAATCTTGTTAAGTACTTAGAAAATTTGGAAAGATTCCCATTTCTGGCCATCACTTGTCCCCCTGTGCACAAACCCTATGAGACTGGTCTGAAAATTTCCTAGTGTTTTCTTAGTAAATACTTCAATAGTTCCCTGCTAACTTTGACTTTTTAGGACATATCACTTTTTTTATGGCTGGTATAGGTCCCTGAAGGGAAAAATTAGTGATAGCCAGATATATGGGAATCAATCTTTCCAAACATTTTCTTGACAGAAGGATTGGCCATAATTATGGCCATCACTAACTTTTCACTTCAGTGACCGATCAGCCATCAGAAAGTGATTTCTTTTTTAATATTGTCATAAGAAGTCAAATTTTGCAGGGAAAATATTGAAGTAGGCCTATATTTACTGAGAAAACACTTAGACATTTTCAGAGCAGTCTCATACGGTTTGTGCACAAGTGTTGGCCAGATATGGGAATCTTTCCAAATCATCCGCTTTGAACAGCGCCCCCAATAACCAGATGGTGTTGTAGCAAATGTGTTGTAAAATGACCGAAAATTTGGGACTCTCAATTACACTGTGTATGCTGATACTACATGTAGTAAAAAGTCTAGATTTCACGTGTTCAGGAAATAATTACAGTAAAGGAGGACAGCTTGCTAGTATCAGACACATTAATTGGGCTGCCCTGTTTAATGACACGTAAGTATGCACAGCAAATATCAAGTGAAAAAACTTCTGATTTCAAATTCAACATATGTTCAAGCATGGAGAAATAATTTCTCCATGGTTCAAGAATGACAATTTTTTTAGAAACGCAGTGGCTGTTGTTACGGCAGTACACCATCTAGTTCCCTGACCTAATAGAGCAATATCAGGATCTTTGGCTGTTGGGAACCCGACTATCAACCGTATGATTCTTGGGTTTTTGTTTGCCTTAAATTTCTTCCCAAAGCCAAAGATCATGAAGAAGGTAATGAAATCTACTTCAATAAAAAGTGTAGGATTGATTAAAAATATGAATTAAAAGTATATGTAAATGGAAAAAAAATGAAAATAAAAGAAAAGAAAATAAGGTTTGGCATAGGAGGATGCATTAAGTTATGCAACTTGCTCATCACGGCTAGCGGGGTGAAAACATTCCAAGGTGAATGCACTATCATGATGTGTGGTACGTTCAAGCTTTTGTTTTCACCTCGCATTGACCCTAGGTCGCAGGCAACGTTGTGTCCGCCTATCACGGATTTGATCCTGGAACCCTCAGTCAATAGCATTTGTTCGAACTACCAAAGTACTCTGTTTGATATGGTGCAGTTTATTGCGGTATACATGTAGAGTTTCGATGACCAGTGTTTTTGCAGTGGTGTGAACCTGAGCCCCCAATCGTTTTCGCTCTTTCATCAGCATGCCAGTACAGTGAACATGTGCATGTGAGTGTTTTACCATGATGAATCTTCGTCTGGCTGCGCACGTACCTCAGACCTTCGTTGCTATTTTGGACATGGCAAGTCAACTTGACCGTTTGCTAGCTCGACTCAAACCAACTTGACTGTTTACCAACTGGACCATTGTACCAACTCTTCCGCTGACCAACTCGACTTAACTTTCGAGTCCACTAGACTGTTGGCCAACTTGACCGTTTGCCAATTTGACCATTTGCCAACTCGACCGTTTGCCAACTCGTCCGTTATACATGTGTGTATGCATCTCGACATAAACCTTGGGTTGCGTGATTTCAAATCATCAAAAGAAAAATAATTTTGTATCTATTAATAGATTGTATCTATTGTCAATTAATTTTCCTTTCTCTGAAAAAACAAATGGGTAAATAATTATGTCGGGCATGCAGAAACAACAATTGCGAGTACGCATGTTCCATGTTGCTGCGTTGTGCAAAGCAAGATTGAACTGTTCTTTTTCCGTATGTCACGATGGGCCATCTGACATTGTCTGGCGGAGATCATGTGGGCCAGCTAGGACACGGCTGACCTCGTGTGGTGAACCTGGAAAGAAAATCATAATTTTTTGGAATGATAAAGATTAAAAATCTGATTCAAAAATCAAATTGTTGTTTATTTAATAAGGATTCCAATGATATGTTTAACATTTTTGACACTAAAAATTACTTGTTTCACTGGATTTTGCGACTCAATTGTTATATTTCCAAAGAGCAAACTCGTAATTTTAGTAAACCAATTTAAAATTTATTTATTTTGTTGTGCCATTCTATTTCAATGAACACAATTTTTAGGGTTGTTAAACAAGAAAAGAAAGCATACTGACCTCTCTATTGTCTGACTGGTCTGTTGTCCGACAGGTCCGTTGTCCGACTGGTCGGTGGTCCGACTGGTTCTGTGACCGACTGGTCCGTTTTCCGACTGGTCCGTTTTCCGACTGGTCCGTTGTCCAACAGGTTCGTTGTCCGACTGGTCGGTGGTCCGACTGGTTCTGTGACCGACTGGTCCGTTTTCCGACTGGTCCTTTGTCCATCTCGTCCGTTGTCCGACTGGTCTGTTGTCCGACTGGTCCATTGTCCGACTGGTCCCTTGTCCGACTGGTCCCTTGTCCGACTGGTCCGTTGTCCGACTGGTCCCTTGTCCGACTGGTCCATTGACCAACTATGGTCAGTTGTCCGACTGGTCTGTTGTCCGAATGGTCCATTGTCCGACTGGTCCCTTGTCCGACTGGTCCGTTGTCCGACTGGTCCCTTGTCCGACTGGTCCGTTGTCCGACTGGTCCGTTGTCCGACTGGTCCATTGTCCGACTGGTCCATTGTCCAACTATGGTCTGTTGTCCGACTGGTCCATTGTCCGACTGGTCCATTGTCCGACTGGTCCATTGACCAACTATGGTCAGTTGTCCGACTGGTCTGTTTTCCGACTGGTCCGTTGTCCGACTATGGTCCGTTAATTGTCCGACTGGTCCGTTGTCGACTGGTCCGTTTCCGACTGGTCTGTTGTTCGACTTGTCTGTTTTCCGACTGGTCCGTTGTCCGACTATGGTCTGTTGTCTGACGGGTCGGTTGTCTGACTGGTCCGTTGTCCGACTGGTCCGTTGTTTGACTTGACCGTTGTCCGACTCGTCCGTTGTCCGACTGGTCTGTTGTCCAACTCGTCTGTTGTCTGACTTGTCCGTTGTCCGACTTGACCGTTGTCCGACTCGTCCATTGTCCGACTCGTTCGTTGTGTCATCGTATACACAAAAAGGACACATGTACACATGTAGCTCGTCTCGCACCTCTGGAATGTTTGATGGGTAAAAGCAACATTCTTAGCACCAGTGATGATGTAGGTCTCGAGGCAGGTGTCAGTATCGAGACAAAAAGTCTTGAGATCTTGTGGGGTCTCGAGCATACAAAACCTTATTGTTCATTTTGGAAAAAACCACAAAAAATTCTAAAATAAACGTATATGATCTGATCATATCTGACTTAATTACTTTTGAAAGTTCGATAGACGGTGCTATATCGAATCCGAGGAACGAAATCAAATAGTCCGGTACCCAAATGTCACTGCATTTTTAGTAACGCAAACTCCCTTGCGGTACTTGTGTATCGCATGCATCGAGTTGATCAAGCGCAACCATGTCGGCACATAAGCACTCTCGAGTGATAAAGTTTAGTTTCAAAGACCCCACATGAATTCCATGACCGGAAGGCAAACAATTTGAAGCACTCTGCGATCTGCAGATTTGTGCCTGCACGAGTTTGGCTCTTACAAGGCATCTCAGCCGAGTTAATGAGGCAAAGTATTGGGGTCAAGTGGCTACGGCTAGGCCACGGACATGTCGTGTTCTTCCACATGAATGTCGTTCTGCATTTCTCTGTTAAGAAGAGCCTACGGTCAGGCACACATTTCCGACACCAATTTTGATTCGGGGAAATTCATACCATACTTTTCTTTTGCTGTTGACTTGTGCTTTTACTAGTTCAGACTAAGTTTGAATAAACACTCTGAAATGATATTTTCCTCAATAAAACTATGAAAATCAGCTGTGGTAAAAATGTAGGTCCTCTCTGTATTAAAGCAGGCGTTTTCAGTAATTCACTTTTTTTAAATACTTCCCCAGACAGCATATCTTTAGACCAGAGTATTTGTACCAGGACATGTGAATAATCATTCCAATTTTATTATACATGTACATGTAAAATGGAACTTGAAATATACAAAAAGGGACAATATGAAGAAACATTTGTTGAGATGTTTTGCAAAGGTGATGCAAATTTTTACAGTGCAATGACTCAGGAAGTTTAGATTTTGATTTTTGGGTCAAGTTACTTCCAAGTTACCTGGACGCTTTCTTTTTAATTCAAGTTGAATTTTAAAACAGACGAGTTGGCAAATGGTCGAGTCAACTAAACTAAACCTTTTAGTTCCAGTTGGTTAACAAACAAAGTTGTCTCAATAGTTGAGTTGGCACGACGGTTGAGTAACTTGAGTTGGCAAATGGTTGAAGTAGTTCAAATTGAGTTATTGGCAAACGGTTGAGTTGACTGTAAACCCTGACCAACTGCCTTTTGTTACGATTCAAATTTTGCATCCAGTTGCAAGACATCCTGTTACGATACCGGAGTTTGATTGGAACATTTTCTAAAGAGGGGAGATGTACATGACATTTCATTTCAGCGTGCGTCAGCCATAGATGGTGCATTCACATAGAGGGTGATAGTGATGAACGCGATCACGCATGCGCGATCATGCACACGAGTCTGTTGTAGATTATAATTAACCCACTGCTGCAATAGCCGGCTGCCATTAGAGGGCATTTTCATGATGAACTGCTCCCACAAAGATTGGGAATCATTTTGCGTTGGAGATAAAACCGTGAGTTGACCGGAATTATACTTATGAGGCATTATCATGCTCATATGAGCAGGTTGCAGAAGTTTGTAGGGCCTTACTTAACTTAATGTGTGCCCCTCTGTATTTTCTACAGACACCAGGACACATGTAAGCTGCATTGGTGGGGAACGTAAGCCAATTAAGTGTCTGGCAAGGCATGCATCATATCACGTCCATGGGAGATGTGGGAAGGATGGCAGCACAGGTATGCGATTGTGGGAGTGGTGTGGAACCCTGAAGCCACCATCATAAAACTTCATGGCATCAATCCAGAGGTGGGTCCTGTCTAAATAATTCTCATTTCATTTCCTAATTTCTCTAAATTCTGTACTAATACATGTAGCCCCAGTAGTGGGAGCCAGATAGACTTATATTTCTGTCACTACACATCGATTCAGAGTCTGTAGTAATGTTGTGCAAACCTAGCTGACCTGAAACCGATTGGACCCAAAATAGACTTTGGTTCGGGTCGAGCCGGTTTTTTTTCCCATCATTTCAGTCGAGTCAGTTTCGATTTTGCATTTGCAACTTTTGGGTAAGGTCAGGTCGGGTCAGGTCGGTTAAGCTTGAAATAGACTGAAATAAACCAAATCAGTTTTGACATTCACGCGGTTTAATATAATATTGCAGCTAGCGCATGGAGTATATAAATATATTTACATGTAGTTGCATGGGTGCATTAGCATTTTACTTGTGCTTTAGAACTCGGAAGTGTGCGCTGTTAAGCCACCTGCATTTTTGGGTGCTGCTAATTGAGTTTGGGTGCGTCGATATATATCTTTATGTATACTTGGCACATCATTTGGTGATATTTGTAGGGAAGTTCAAGTTCACGTGCTCTAGCCAAATCGGATGCCGTTAACACCAGATCATTTGCGACTTGTCTACTTACGCTAATCCAAATTTCCTAATTCCAAGTCAGACAATTAAATACAAATTAAAAATAAGCTACTTGAAAAGCCTTTGGCATTGTGCTGTTAGGGTGCAGAAATTATCTTCACTGGTAAGAGCATTTTGAGTTTTGTGAACGAGTTATTTGTGACTTGCAACATGTGCAAACAGGTGAATTTTAGAAGGATAGTTTTGTTGCCTGCATGGACACTTCCTGGAGGTCCGATTGAATTTTAGTGAAAGTATTTCCACCAGTGTTGTAGTCAAGTACCAAAACTCGAGTACCAAGTTTTCCTAGTACACACAGTGCCGAGTACGGGTTGAGTCTGAGTACTTTTTAGTCGAGTCCTGGGCCAAAAATCCGAGTTCGAGTTTTTCAGAGTCCGAGTATGGGCCGAGTACGAGTACACAGATAACGAGTACATCCCGAGTTCATTTTTAAACTAAAGCACTATGGAAATTAGCACCGTTACTTACATGTGATATGTAAAGTACATTTGTAATTACCCAGTATTCCAAGAAATTAACACGTACACATATTAAAAAGTGTTGTTTTTGCAGGAATTCTTGATTTATTGCGTCGAAGGTGCTTATTGAAGTTGGAAGTTGTTCCAGGCTTCTCTGAAATTGGCAGCCCAAATGACTTGCATACTGCGCTGTGCTGCTTCTGTCTGATAGTGATCCTTGTGATCTCTAACACCAAAAAAAATGGCTCCGGTTTCTGGTATATGCGCGCGCGTGTTGGCAAAATGAAAAAGGTTATTTTCCTGCTGCTGCACAATTTTAACGTGTTTTTAGATGGGGTTATGATCGAGAATAAGGGAATAACAGTGTGAGGAGCCGGTCTTCACTGCGTGATAATGACCGGGTGTGGGGGTGACCACTGTTAATGGACCAAGACGAAGTCGAGGTCCATTAACAGCGTTCACCCCCACACCCGGTCATTATCACGCAGTGAAGACCGGATCCTCACACTGTTATTCCCATTAATAAATACCTTTATAACGAAATAAACAGTTAAAATGCTCCAATTTTGTGACTTTCTTTCGGTGATATTTCCAGACTTTTTTGTGTTCATGTTCATCGGCCATATTTTAGCTTAACAGCTATAACGACGTAAACTCAACAGAAACTGCTGCCGTAGCGAAACAAATTACAACAATGTTTTCATATCTTTACCTGATGGAGGAAGCTGAAATCTCGTTTACACATTCCTTGTGTCCGGAATTACAAAGATGCTTGGTTTAGGAAAGGTAAATATGTCGGTGGGTGAAGTGTTCAAAGAAAATAAATCGTAGATCTACGTTTTCGTCGTAAACATCCATATACTGCACTGCTGTACGATGTCGTTTCAAAACTTCCTTACGCGCGCACACGCACGCATCCCTAGCAACTGTGTTGCGTATCCGCGCGTCAGTCTCACGCGATGGGGGTTGAGCGCATGTACAGTGCTCAATTGTTAAATGCTACCGCAGGACTGTTACTATATTTTGACCAATCATTGGCTTGCATGGGGCTGAACGGGGCTGGATCAATGCTGGTTCAGGGGCCATTTATTCGCTTGATCTTTGAAGCCGGTCTATTATCACCGTTAATGCCCGGCCACGTGATCGAGTCTCGACCAATCAGAAACCATCAACTCTCCAAGGTATTTATTAATAAGCTTTATGTGGCCTCTCTGGACTCCCATATATTTGCACAAAGTTCAGTTTAGCACCATTTGCAATCATCAGCTGACATATTTTGAAGCCAAAAAAAAAATTTAAAAAAATAAATAATTTCTTGACTTGTTGTTCATTCACAATATGTTGTGTTCAATGTTTATTCATTTAGTCTGTCCGATCTATAACCACAAATTACACAATGAATTAGGATATACTTTCCTAGAATAACATGTACATGTAATAGTTATTTTCTTCATGGTATTTAATGGTACCACCCTGCACTGCCTGACCTAAGTTGAAGGAGCCGGAGCCGTAGATATTTATTACACCTCCCCTCTCCCTGAGGCCCCACCCCCTCCTCCTTCCCCTTTTTACTTGCTTCTCCCAAAGTCCTTGCCACCACAAATGGTGTCAGAAGTGGGATATTGCATATGGGCATCGAAGAACAATTGGACGAGAATAAATTTGATTAATTTTAAAACATTTGCACCTCCCATTGTGAGCGTGAGTCTGTGTGGATTAAAACAACTGCTGGCTGGAGACGCTATTGGTTTGCGTTATTTGACCTGCATTTTATTTTGTGTGTTGTAAATAAAATTATTTGCATAGAATAATCATTTACTGTCTGTTGTACATGTAGTTGTGAATTATTTCTTTGTTGAGTTTGCAATTGCACCTCCGCTGGAGGTGCTATATTGTCGCTGTGATTTGTGTTGACTGCTGATTGTATTCAATCGATAATCTTACTGGAGAACAGGTGAATAAAACAAAACAGGTGCATCTGATTAACACATGGGCCACCCCTTGTAGCATCTTGCCTACGTGGCCTGTTCAAAAGCAAGAGGAGGGATAACCTCATGCGGCATTATGGGAGGTCCACCCTTCCCACCTGGACCACCTGCAGAGGCATCTCATGAGCTTGGAGCAGACGCCTCTTAGCAATGCTTAGCTGAGCCACCAACATGCAGACCAACATGCAAGCAGCAGACCAACATGCAAGCGAGCTAGGGCAATCATTGGGATGCTTGCATCAGGCCAACCCAGCATCATGCCCCTAAACCCACAACACACAGCCAATGCAAGGAGGACCAAGGGCTTCCAAAAACAACACCTCAGTCAGCTGCAGCGATGATGAAAGCAACCTCAGCTGAAGCCACCTGGAGCTTGCTCCCGGGATGGTGCCAATATGTTCACAGGTACGTCCTCCCTGTTCCTTGATGAGGACGTCCAAAAGTCTGAGGGGAAGTCCTTGGCCTGTCTCCGACTGCTTCTCTTAATCTACTCATGGATGATCCAGAGATCCTTCAGATGACATCGAGAACTCCAGCCCCTCCAGCCATACCAGCTTCCATGTCCCTTCCAGCGCCCTCCGGGGACAAGCCATTGGCCCTGTTGAAGGCCCACGAGCCGTCATCAGCTACAGGTATAGTGAGGACATTATAGCTGAGGATGACGTTGACGCTACACCAACGCGGCGTCACACATCTTCAAAGGCGGCCAGTAACGTGAAGAAGATGTTTCTCAAGACCGGCCGTCTTGGAGGGGAGGGTGACGATCAGGTACCGTCAACAATACTATAGACAATGACAGAAGCTGAACTCTGAAGCAAGTCCAGCAAGCCAGGGTGTATGAGATGATTAAGTGAAAGCATCTCGCCACCAAATGAATTACCGTGAACAATTTTTGTGTTTGATTTAATGTTGCTATTATCGTAAACTAATAAAGTGAAGTTTATTTGGCCTTATTGAACAGGGACCACTCAGGCCTCAAATGAGCAATGGGGCTGTGTAACGGAAATTAGTTTACTGACACGACCAACGTATTTTGTTTACTGTGTACTGCTGCAGCACGTACGTGAAGTACCGTGTACTAGCTAGCGCATGGAGCAAGTTGGGCGCAATGTTTCTCTTGTGCATACAGTAGAGCACGGAAGTGTGCGCTATTGGGCACCTGCATTTTTTGGCGCTGCTTATATATCTAGTATCTAGTTTAGGTGCGCCGGTAAATCTTTATGTATACTTTGCACATCATATTTGGTGATATTTGTAGGAAAGTTCAAGCTGGTTGCTATAAACTCAAGTGCATAGGCTCTAGCCAGATCGTTTGTTACTTAATTGTCCCCTTATGCTATTTATCCAAATTTTCTAATTCCAAGTAAGACAATCAGAAAGCTACTTGAAAAGCCTTAATTAGGTTGTGGCAATCGTCTTGACCGGTAAGAGCCGTTTGATTTTTATGAATGAGTTACTTATTTGTGACCTGCAAACAGGTGAATCTCAGGAAAAAAACCTGTCATTATAGTGTGATATAGTTTTGTTGCTTGTCGGACACCTCCTAGAGGGCCGATATTATTTTGGTTGTAGTATTTGCACCTCTGGAGGGAGAGTGCCGAGTACATACATGTAGGCCTATACCGTAGCCTCAGCCAATTAAGAAACCGAAAACACTTGAATACATGTACTATTTCTTTTATTCATTAACTATTTCTTGTTATTGTTGATATTTGTATTTTGTTTTAATAAATAAATTCTTCAATTGTTGTTCATTTACATCGTGTGTTCAATTGTTTATTCCTTCAGTCCGTCCGATCTAACCATAAATTAGGATACACTTTCCGAAATAAATGTCCGCACAGGCTATACTTACATGTGGCTTGTAACAAGTATAGCTTGTAGTAATTTTCATCGTGGTGATTAATGGCGCCACCCTGCGCCACCTGACTTACAGTGAGTTGCGGGAGCCGGAGCCGGAGATATTAATGACACCTTCCCCCTCCCTGGGGCTTAATTCATTCCCCTTTTTACTTGCTTCTCCCGAAGTCCTTGCCACCAGGCTAGCCACAATATTTTACAATGGAGATTGGTCACTTTGTCAAAATGCAAACTGTATGGCTATATAAATCCAAATATAGCTCATGAATGTATCAAATCAATCAGACTAGAGATTGTCACTTCGTCAAGTAAAAAAAACTGACAGTGTCGCACATTAATTACTTTGGGAAATTAGCAACTCAAATTGTTTAAAATCTCGGTTTTGAACAGATTCGTCACTTCGCCAAGACGGTGACAATATGTACTGTACATGTACATGTAGTATATGTATTAAATGTTGTATAGGTACATGTTTAATTGTAAGTACTCGCTAGTACAATCAACTTCTGTGGGAGGGGATTTGGAGTATTTCCTTTTATTTTTTTCACAGAGTTCAAAATATCTAAAAGCTCTAAAAGATTCAAGGCATGACAGGTTTTTTTTAATCGTTGTAGAAGACATTATTTGATTCAGGGTTCGAAATTAGTGGTAGACCACTAGCCAAATGCTAGTCAAAACAGCGTCGGGCTAGTCAAACTATTCCTTAACTAGCCCGGCTGGTGAGTAAAAATTATTGGGAAACGGCAAAGATGAACGTACATCAAGAAATAAATCATTAAATTCAGAAAGAAAACCCCATCAATTTGTGTCTAATTTTAGCAACTGTTTTAAAGGGTTAAATTATCAAAACTGTTTATCAAAAACACTGAGAAAATTGGCTCAGAATTGAGCCTGAAAATACGCCATTATGTATTTGAGATAAGACAAAAAAAGCGGGCTTGTAAAAATGACCGCAGGCTAGTTAAGAGCCCAGCTGGTTACTGAACAAAAAAGTTAACGTCGAACCCTGTTATTCCCATTGAATTGTCTGTTGCTTTTTTCCCAAGTGTCCTCATCTTCAATCAGGCTGACAGGAACCCAATCTACTGAACTTCACCCTCCATTAACCTTGGTCACAAAGCTTAAGAGGGTACTAGAATTACAAGGTACATGTAGCTATACGTGTAAATCATTATAACTCTAACCCCTGGGTATTTTTACTAGACTGCTAGAAAGTATTCTGAATCCACCAATCTACCTATTGTGTCATGCATGCAAATGTTGGCATTGTTGACTGCTCAGTATGGAGGTGTCCTGAATCCATCGATATTCTGCGGTACTGCTAGCCTTACAATCCTCAATCCATCTAAATTCCCCTGTTTTAGGTACGTATTGTAGCTGAATCCGGCCGCCGAAATACTCCAAAACAGGTGAATGGATTTTGATGGATCCAGAGTGGTAATAGGGTTAAGTTGCATGGTCTCAGCTAACAATATTTTCCAATTATTCCTTTACCAGCGGGACAATTCTAGTGTCAAAAGCTGAAGAATTTTGGAAGCTGGTGTTACAAATTAATAAAAATTTAGTCACTAGTATCCATAATTTTGATTGGATCAGTGGGTGAAAAGAGATCAGATTTTTGAACAGATATCAGCTTGATGCATTTTCAATGAAAAAAAAAGGCAGGCTGATTTTGTGTTTCTTTTTTATTCCTCTCAAAGATTGTTGAATGCCTCTTGTGAGAACAATAAGAGGAACACAAGGATACACATTCAGGTAAGCTAAAAACTTGTTCAATTTTAATTTACAGGCCACTTACTCATCATTGTAAAATTATATGTGTTTGGACCTGAATAAAGTGAACTGAATATTCAATTTTTAAATTGTTTAGTTTTACCATATAAAATAATAATTTTCAGTGATATTAAAATTGTCAAAACAATTCTTTTGTTTTCTTGAGTCCCGAACTATGGCATCACCTTTTTTGTGCAATGGGCTTACCCATACATGTATTAAAGGGGATGTTAATTTGGCCCCATATGGGGCCAAATTCATCCAGACTCATCTTCATGATAAACACATGAACATACATGTACGAACATATGTATGTACATTTTATGCGGATAGTTTCACCTTGTTTGTGGAATTAAATATACATGTAGTTTTGATGCATTTTTTTTCAATCCCTGAATTGTGAGTCCAATTAAGTAAACTTGTTTTTGGCTATTAGCATGTTTCTGTTAATTATCTCCTTTTGTTTGTCTGTGGTATAATGAGGTTGCTAACAGGCGACGGCCATCATCTTTGTCCTGGTCTTCTACGACATGTCCATTTTCCAGAGGCCTAGGATGGACGTTAGGATCATCCATGCTCATCGAAGAGTAGCTTCTTTCAACCTCTCTGCCATCTGCCTGGCATGCCTGGGAGGGACGCCAAAGCACATGGCTACTGAGGACGGCAAAGCACATGGCAACTGAGAAGGTCGGAAGCCAGAGGTCGGAGCTGATGTCCAAGCTCTGACGAAGCTGACGTGTGATAGGAGAGGTCCTGGATGCTGACTGTGCCTAGCTATATAGGTAGGTGATGTGAAGCATTATAGAAAGTACCAGGGATAAATTGTTGATACACCAATGTAAAGTGACAGTCCCTTAAAAGACATTCTAAGAAAAACTGCACTAATTAAGTGAATATTACATCAGTGAACTCAGAGTGTCATCATAAAATGTAAAATTTATAAAAGTATGCAATCCTAAGGCTGCAATCCTGTCATGCTTTGTTGATCCACACAGGAACCGTCATACACCCATTAATGAGTAACTCCCTCAGGTTTAGGCATTCTCCTGATCAGGAGAATACCTAAACCTCAGAGATTTAAATGTAATCATTTGCCTGATCAGGTGAATGCATAAACCTGAGAGAGTTACATGTAAATGTAATCATTCGATAGGTGCGAGGCGGGTCCAGTGTGGATCAACAAAGCATGACAGGATACAACAAGCTAAGGATGACATGCATAGGAAGAAAGTTTAATAGACCCATCATTTGAAGTAGGGACCATATCTGTAGGTCAGTGGCCACGTTCAAATTGATGAAGACCACTGATTTTTCCTTCCAAGGCCCAGTTTCTTTGCTGCACAATTTATTATAAAATGGAATTTTGCGTCGGGGTGATATAAATCAAATTAGGTTTTGCCCTTCACCAACGTTTTTTAAACACTGTATACTCAGTGTTTTTTTTTCCAACTTTCACTCAGGAGGTAACACACCGAGTATACAGCTGTACAGTGACCACAAATTCGTATCCTTGTGGAGACACACACACATAGGGAACAAAACATTGTAAAGGTCTCCACAAGGCAATTCCTATAGATGAATAGGTCTCCACAAGGTTTTCACGAAATAGATATATGGGTTTTACTCAGAAACTAGGAATTTCCAAGGTGGGTTGATCGGTCTTAAATGGAAGAGTTTTAGAAAAGGGATATCAAGTCCAAATTTCAGCCAAGGAAAACTAATTCTGGTAAGAGCATTTTGAAAGTTCACTTTCAAAATTGAACACTTTACTACACGAGAACAAAGAAATGTCTCCACAAAAGGATACAAATTTTAGAATGGGTGTTTAAAAAACGTAGGTGAAGGGCAAAACCTAATTTGAGTTGCTGCAAAATTGATTGCTTCGTCCACGTGTCTTTAATATCCAACAATGCTTACAGACTCACTAGCAACACGAGTGACTCGGAAAAGTGCAGCAGGCCTACGTGTAGAAAGCAGATACATTGTATGCTTATGTCACGCACGCATGCAAATGCACTCTCAATTCTAAACACGAAGTTGAAGACGTCCTTAATTTGTGGATGGTTTGCGCTGTGTGCTAATAAGTGCCCCAGCTTCAGTGCATTGCTGCACAGTCCAATAACCCTTGCACGCGCTGAAACATCGCACTGCTAATTAAGGACGTCTTGAAAGCAAGACTTGTTCTTTTCCAGTGTACTTTCAAATGTCAGTTATTGAAGAGTATTTTTTGTAGTGTAATATGTAGCATTTTTTTAATTTAGTCAGTGGTGTTTTAAATGCTTCGGTGTTTTACATGTACGTAAAAAAAAAATTTTGTGTATTATTTTAATTCAGGAAGTTTAACATAAGAGCGCAACATAAGTTGAAAAAAATTATTAATACAAATACATTGTTTTATGCAAAACTGTAGTTGTACTGACAACTATGCAAAGCTTCAAAATGACAAAAGCTAATACCAAATTACACACACAAAAACATGATGCATCATCTATGGCATTACATGTAGGTTTCATATTAGTTTTGCTTTTTTAACTTCAATTTCAGGTTTTCATCAGTAACCCAGATGCTGCTTTTGATGCCGAAATGCCGTGAATCTGCACCACTTATCAGGTAACTGTAAGATGTCTTGGGCTTGTTTAGAAGTTAGTTTAATTATTTGTTTTTCAGAAATTACTGGTAAATTTAATTTCAGCAAGATAAAGTTAATGATTGGCCGTGCTGGGCATTCCCTGCCCTTATCAAATAATTATTGCATAAAACTTATATGTTAGTGTCAGGACACTTATATCAAGTACCTGCGTATTTTGAAATGGATCAGGAGAGTTTTTGCACCATGCATTGCTTGAGCGTTGTGGTAGCCAATTAGTTATTGTTTGTGTGCCCTCTTGAGACAGCTCTGTTAACAATAAGGACAAAGTTCGCTTGAACTTTCCATTCTGTGTACGGTACAGCACCAGAATTGTCAATAATCCATATATCTGAAATCCGATATTGAGAATATTTGATACATCGATTATCCCTTGTAAAAGTTAAAAAACACAAAGATGGCACTTTGATTTCATAAAAAAGAAGAAGTTAAGTCCAAGTTTTTCACGGCTTTCTCTGGAGCATATTGCAAAAACTTTTTAAAACAAATCTCAGCACTGTCCAGAACGGGCGGTTTCTTTTTGGGGTTTTACATTGCGAAGGACTGCAAATTCCAGCAAATGCAGAGCACAAAGCGATGTGGCTTGGCATTTTGCAATTTTTTTTGAATCGCAAGCACAATGTTGCCGCCAAGTTTTATTTTATATTACAGCAAACATTAATCACAAAGTAAAAGCACAGATTTATTTTGACGATAATCTTACGCATTTTTGATATTTTTGATAAAGTTGTTATACTTTTATATTAACAAATTGCAAGCGGGGATATTGATATGGACATAATATCGAATAATCAAGTAATATCAATAGACGCTGCTTACGTTACAGGCTCACAAGTCTTTTTAGCACATGTGTGTATAATGTTTGTTTACCATTTCACTTGCCTCGTTAATTCAGTTACATTTGGAAGCAAATATTGCCTGCAGATTGACAAGTATTTGTAGGTACAGTAATGGGAGACCCTGACATTAGTTGAATCCAACATGATGTTAAAGTTCATACCGCATGCAGCCGTCATTCTCCAACCGCTCACCCAAATCATGATATCACATGGATAGTCAAAAAGCCAGTGTTGGACTGACGCAGCTGTAGCAGCTTTGGACAACATCGATCTTGTCAACTCTCATGAACATTGCCATCCTCTCATCCTAAGCATAACACTGACGTACATGTATCTTTCGACTAATGCATCAGATGTTTGGAGTATATAGCCCTTTAACCCTTACTCTCTGAGGGTAGTTTACTGCATGTCAGTTGGTTATGCCAATGCCCTCCAGCTGCAGTTTATTGGCAGATAGTTCGTCTTAACAGTGAAGGCTCCAATTGGCAGGAGTTGGAGGCCCTGGATGGTGCCTGATACTGACCAGCTGGGGGCACTCACTTTGTTATCAGAGGACTCTCATTGTTCTCTGTGGCATGTATTGGAGTGCCTGTCCAGTTACCCTTGAAATGACATGGCAGATATTGGAGGGCCATGCAAAAAACATAGGAGATTTTCTTGAGGCACATATTGGCATGCGTTGGAGGGTCTAGTAGGGTAAGGGTTAAGTAAGAGTTAATTGACAATGCTTGGCAATGCGTTGTATTCTCTTGCAAACCCAATTCAGTGAAGAACCACATAGTGATTTTGCCATGAATCCTGAACATACGTCATGTTTGCGAAATGCTGGTAAGATGCCCCACTTTCATGTCAATACAAAATCTCAAGCCACTCACGTATGCATTCAAGGCATCATGTATCTGCACTCTCCATGTGAAATTCGCCAACTGATGGACTTTATTTTGTGATTTACCACTGACATTCGAGTAGGGTGTACACTCCAGCTGATACAATTAACTGTACATTCAACGATCCAACTGAATGCAGCTATATACACCGATCACGTGTAGTTTCTGTCCTTATCAGTTTAATTCATTCTATCTTTCCTTGTGATGGTCAAAAATCTGAGGGTTCAGGACCTGGATGATGGAGAACAACTTTGGAGACTTGCTCCTGGACGACAGTCGTTACCCAGCCGATCCCCAACAGTCCGCAGAGCAACGCTTAGCTCCCCTCGGGGCAACAGTAATGCGGATGAGGGGAGGGCCCCAGCTTCAACCCAACACTCTGTGGATGCATGCTTGGAACTCCTTGGGGAACCGTAACACAGATGAAGGTTCAAACTGGGGAAATGCCCAATTATAACACTTCGTAGAGGAATGTCCGGGAACCCTTCAGGCCAGGCCCGTACGTTGTGCTTGATGAGGTTGTTCCCTACATCTTTTAGTCTCCATCATCACTCAGCATGGGTCCATCTCAAATCTGCAGCCTTCGAGATCTCAGGATGGCGAGGTCTTTTCCTATCCTTTCACTCGCAGCTGGAATTGTGTCATGCATCGAGAGAGCTACCACTTCCAGCAGATTCTGACATGACACCAGCAGCAAATAATTATGCATCCTTTAGTTCTTTTAATCTTGCTACCAGTACTCAGTGTGTCATTGTGGGAGTTGGACTTGGGCAGGCATATTTCCAACAACTACCAAACTCACCATCACGGTGGTTCGGTTTAACCGACTGCCCAGGGTGCTCCTGCTGCATCATGATGTTCACACCTTCTTTGCCTTGGGATACAGCCTCTCGATCCCAGAGCCCATGTCTCTGGTGGACCTTATCCTTCGCTTGGTCGGTGAAACATTGATTGTGACTGTACTGAATACGACCACAGCTAGCCCAACATTCCGGGTCTCCCCCAGGGTGCAGATGAGGGACTTAACAGTCCGTACCGGGGGAGAGATCTGGCCATTCACTCCACTCCACAACACTGCATGGATGAATGCTCAGGTTCCCTCCAGGGTTCCCTAAACTTGGATGAGGGAGTTGCCCTGGTGCTCCAACACTCCGCTGGGGACCCTTCGGGGTTTCCGTAACATGGATGAGGGTATGTGCCAGTGGTGTGCCCAAAACCCTGTGACTGATGTGTGGTGCTCGTATATCATCACGGGTGAGGGAGCAGGCCGGATTGAGGGCCCGAGGGGGACTGCACTGGCGAGTCAGGGTTTGTCAAGACCACAGGCTTCAATGCCCGTGAAGGAGGAGAATTAATCCATGGCTGGTGGTGCTGTCTTATGCAGTGTATGCCATGAACCCGCCCAGTGCAAGACATTGTGGTGCAGTGCGACATTGTGGCGATGCAGGCCAGAGTTCGATGTACATGAGGCTAGCAGGCTTTAGAAGCTTTACAGGTCCTGTATCAGACAGGCAATCCACTGGTCCACGATAGCTCTGAGGTCAGATATGCTAGCACTGAGGAAACACTAGCAAATTACATGTACATGTAATTACTGAAGTTCATCCAGAAAGGGCGGTTGATGGTAATAGACTCAGTGCTGACTCTGAGCTCTTGTTTTTGACTGGGCCTGTGCTTGGGAGTCTGGTTCAGATTTGCTACGCCCCATTTTGCAGACGGAGGTTTCCTCCAGACTAGGTCGGATGTCAAACTCCGCACCTGGGAAAGACCGGCTTAGATATCATCACATCAGATTGGCAGACAGTGCATTTTAAGATACAGTGGCGATGTGTAATCAGTGTCTGCATGAAGGTTGGTTCCCCATCTTTTGGAACACAGCTACCAAGGTTAACTGTTGTACAAGAAGGGCGACCAAGCGTGTTCGGCCAACTTCCGGTTGATTGCCCTGCAGTCATGCCTGTAAAAGTTGCTGATGGCAGCCTTTTGACTCATTTGGGTGCAAGACTGTCCTCTCATCAGTGACTCCCAGAAGAGTGCTAGGCCTGGTGAGGGCTGCTTTGAGCTCACCCACCTGATATGTTGTCCATTGTGGGGGGTGCACGCTGGATTCGGGAAAATATGTATGTGGTGTGGCTCGATCTACAAAATCCTTTTTAACAGCATTCACCAATATGCTATATGCACTGTGTTGGCCTGGGTCAGTGCGCTGCAAGGGTTCATAGACATCATCCAGGATGTCTATATCTGGGAAGGCACAGAGGACTGAGCCCATAGCCATCTGTTCAGGATGGCTGGTTTCTGTGGCTGCTGGTCCAGCTCAGTAGTCACATGTATGAGATGCACTCCAAAAGCATTACCACTGCTCTGCAGGCTGCTGCCCGAGAGTTTTACCCCAGTAAATTACTCTCTGTGACAAGCGACCGCGGCTGGTAAATTGAATCAGCCCTCTTTCGCACCCTCTCAAGAATACTTGGCTGTCAATCAACATACAACTTCTTCAAACCACTGCTCGTCATTCAGAGTATCATTGAAAGATAATAATGCTATATAAGCTCAAGGCTTCACTCAAAGCACACAATGACCGTACACAATCAAACAGTTTGCCATTACTCGATGCACAAACACTTTATGTATTGACTTCGTAAAACCTGTTTCGTTTGATGACAAACCTTTGCAGACAATCAAGATTTCTCTCGTGCACCTGACACAGTGATTATTCCATCTGTGATGACCAGAACACAATCAGGTTCCCATGTAATTGGCCTACGACACTAACAAATCTTGTTCATTAACTTTCACTGGTGGGGCTCTTGTCACATAGCCAAGATATTGTCATAGCACCTCTTTGCGTTGTGAACACTAAGGTTAATGTTCGCTGATTCTGTAACATTCCGTTCTGTGTGCTCAAGTGACTTTTCGACACATCACATGAAATCGCATTTGGTTACCATTTTGATTGCCTCTGTAGGTCAGTCATTTGCTCCGGATAATAAATCTGAAAGCAAACATCTGCAGCCTTACGAGTATTTTGAGCTATCGTGCATAACTAATCTATATTATTTGCACATTCTTTGATAAGACAGGACCGGATGAGTAAGTTTTCCTCTCTCAAAATTCATCAAAAGCCTGTCACACTAGCACAAGAAGAGGAACACATGTTTCAGGTGAGCTAAAAACTTCTCAATTAACTTGCTTTGCAACAATATCTATGTGAATTATGGGTTGAATATAAATGTATGCTATAAGTTTGCTGTGAATATGAAAGCAAATGAAGCTAAATTTCCAAATTCTATCTCCCAAACTTCTCCCTATAGTTGTCACAACTTTTCCTCTATCGACATACGTTGAAAGGCTGTTACCAGTACCACAAAAAGAAGAGCACATGTCTTTCAGGTGAGCTAAAAACTTTTTCAATGGACTTTTATACTTGCTTTTGCAACAATATTTATGTGAATTATGGGTTGATTATAAATTAACCCGACCCGAACTCAACCCATCAAAGCCCAACAGCAGGTGTTGTTAGAATGGGTGCAGTACTGATGGTCTTTTACATTGGGGTTGGCATACCTCCAGACACTAAGTCCAACAGTGTGTGTGTATAATTTCCCATGAGGGTGTTGGAATTTGCCAGGATGGGTAGTACAGTTCCTAGTATTATTATGCTAGGGAGTTAGGGGAGTGCTACAATTTTGCTGTGAATATGAATGCAAATGAAGCTAAATTTCCAACTTCTATCTTCCAAACCTCTTCCTATATATAGTGGTTCTCCCAACTTGTCCTCTATCAAAATTCGTTGAAAGCCTGTCATCTGTAAGCTAAGAGGAACACATGTGTTTCAGGTGAGCTGAAAACTTGTACCACATACTTTGATACTTGCTTTTGCAACCATATTTATGTGAATTACGGGTTGATTATCAATTCATGCTTAAATTTTGCTGTGAATATGAATGCAACTGAAGCTAAATTTCAAAATTCTATTTTCCAAACTTCTCCCTGTATAGTAGTTCTCCCAACATAGTGGAGCCTCAAAAACTACAAAAAGTCTGCAAAATTATGACCTAAAAATCCTTAACTATATATGTATACACGTATGCTATTCATATTTTATATTTTATCTTGAATTTCAGGTTTTCCTGCTCTTACCAAGAAGACGTTGCTCTTGATGCTGGAATGCCCTGAAACTGCGCCACTTTGTGATGACATCAAACATCAGAGAAACTACATCCAAGGTGCCTTGGGCCTATTTAGAATGTACTAGGCTGTTAAATGAGAAAAAAAGGTTAAATGGGCAATTCCATGCTGGTTGACACACAAGACCAAAAAACCCAAATTGATCGTTTGTTCAAGTTTGATTTGCAGAAGTGACACAATATAACGTGGCGTTTTTAAAACTGAAATATAGTCTAGTCCTATGTGCGCACTGTTTTGTGAGTTACGTACGGTACACCATCGCATCAAAGTCCGCAATGATGTCCTGATGACTTATGGATGCACTGGTAAGGAATTTTAATTAGTCTTTTGCTATCTATACAGTAATATCTCAATTTATACGTTACCGTATTGAGGGCGTCTTTGTGAAAATGAATATATTTTTTTCAATTGTTTTCAATTCGAGTCAGATTTTGCTTGTAATATGAGATATATATTGAATGATTTGAAAGCCATCAAAAGTGATTTTATGTAAATGGCTACATTTTCTAAGCAATGAAATATTCTGTTAACTTTCCTTAGCTTGAGTTCTTAAAAGTGTTAAAAAATAATTTGTCAGTAGTTTTTGTTTTTATACTTATTAGGCCAGCCATGAAATATTGTAATAGTATTGGGCATGTGTAATGTCATGCAGTCACTAGCCTTGGCATAATGTAGTGTCAGTCACATTATTGTATAGTCCGTACTTTGTATTTGAGGAATGAAATGAAAAATATATTTGTTTTGCTTTTGGGCACAAGTAGTCAATATTTTTTGTTTTGTTTTGCACTCTGACATGTCTGATGAGATGGGTGGGGTGGGGAAGTTTTCCCTGTGAGAACTGAATTATTGTTTGGCACCAAATAGTTTGATATTCATAATTCTAACGTTGGCTGATTTTATTTGTTTGTTTTGTTGTTGGTTCATTGGATATCTTCGGTAGTGAAAAATACTAAAAGTTCTGTTGAATATTTCATATTTTGCAGGAAAACCATACACTCAAGTGGCAACTTAATTACAGCAGCACAGAGGACACAGCAGAAACAAAACTTGGAAGAAAAGGATTGTAGGAAGACCACAAGAGGAACAAATGAAAGAGGAATAAACAGAAAAGAAAAGAACATGAGGATTTTAATAAGTGAGCAGGAGTTAACACTTTGAGAAAAAGTAGTTAAAATTGAGGTTGGAATTTGAGACCTCAAATTGTTAACAAAGAAAATATTAATATGACATGTATTAAATATGCAAGTCTATTCACACAGTTATTAATGGAGATAACTTTTAATATTTTTAAGGCTATTTTGACAAAGTTCTTATTTCATCTGCTTTATTTTTGAGGTGCTGACAGTATACAAGTTGTTTTTAAAGATTTTCTTACAAGTACATGTACCGCTACAAGTTTTGATCTAAATAATTATTTTCTTGCGTACAGTCACAGTTCGATATAAAAGAAAAGAAAAGCCGAACCTTGACAGGTTTTGATGTCTGTTAATGTCCAATACTGTCTAGTTTCTCATTTGATTACCAATTTAAATTTTCCATGTATATGTACATTCATGTACTATATGATAAATAATGATATTATTATATGGCTATGATAAATAAATGGAATATTGTATCTGTTAACATGAAGATAAATGTAAAATTTATTCTATCATTTGTTTCCTGCGTTTCTTTTAAAGTTGTGTCAGTCATGATAAAGTCTACTGAATATAAAAAAAAAATAATACGCATCAGTACTTAAAGTGTACTGAACAGTGGCGTAGGAAGGTCATTTTGAATTTGGGGGGGGGGGATTTTTGAAAAGGGCACTTGCACATTAGTGTGGAATTGTAGACCCTTTTTTTCTCGGGACACTGCCTCCGTAAAATTGGGGGGGGGGGGGGGTCTGGCACCAATCTGTCGACACTGCTGCTGTTCCAAAACAATGATTATTCACACTAACGGACAGTATAGGGCGACAAAAAGCACTCTTTACAAAATATTTGGGGGGGGGGGGGTTAGGCGCTGGTGAAAAAATTGCATTTGAATGGAAAAGGGCAATATCTTTCGAAACTATATATTGAAAAATCTATATTGGAAAATATTTTTTGGGGGGGTAAAAATGGGGTAAAATATTGGGGTAAATACCTAACACTCTTAAGAGCTTCCAATTCTAATTGCAATTCGACATGTCGGGTTCAAAATGAGAAGTTGATACACATGGTAATTACGTATTTTTAAGTAAGTAAAAATATAGAAATTTGAAGTTACAGTACCTATGTCGATGTGATGACGTCGCGTCTAATATTGTTCTGAATACGCGATATTTCTGCGAATTTGAAACCTGCCGAATGTCTCATATGTCTGTCGATCAGCATGGAATTGCCCATATACTTGCTAAAACTATAGATTTTCTGGTTGCCCAATAAGTTACTGGGTGTTGTCATATTTCTGTTCATGTATGTATTCATCTATATATTTATGTAAATTGAAAAGTGCAACCCATGCAAAGTATTGTAGTAAGCCATTTGTGCATTACAACTTGTATACACAAGTAGTCAATGTAATAATAAAATGAAACAATACGCCTAAAACATCAGTGCATAAACAATTGAGGTATTTGTTTGTACATTAATTGATATTTAGAGCTCACTCCTCAAATTAAATGAAATTTTGGAAATGTTTAGTTGGACACCCTAGTTTTAGTAAATAAAAACTAGTCTCAATGAGGAGCGCCCTCTTTTGCCCATGAATTGCTGATGGCTGCTTAATGAATGAATTAATGCATGATCCACTTGGCATCATAATAGTGCTTTGTTACAAGGTGTAAGGTATGGATTACATGTCAAAATGAAATGAAACCAAATTTGTGTGATGTGAAAGGTGTCATCAAACAAGAAAGTTAAACATTAGTAACTTCTTCCAAATTTATTGATAATTTTTTTGGTAAAATGACATTTTGTGAAACCAAATTCATAATGGGGAAAAGTTATGGGAGGAAAATCAGTGTTTTAAGGAAACAAGATCCCTACATATTTGCTCTCTAAGATATCCTTAAATTTATGGAAAGAAAAGGGAAATGGATAGTGTTCATGAAGAAATTTGAGCGTTCTAAAATTAATTGGCATGAATATCTACCAAGATAGACAGTTAAAACTGTTAGACGGTCTATAGAGGGCAGTATGCATATACTATGTGTAACGTGTTGTAATCAGAGTTTAACTTATTTAAATTTAGTTATACTAGAAAGTATTCCTGAAATAAGGTGTCTCTCTATTAAATTGTAGAGTGGTTATAACTTTAAGAATTAGAAAAGCAAATATTGTATAAGATGCTGTAGGCAAAAATCACTGACAATTTAAGGATGGCCTCAAGTAAAATGCAGGTGTGAACTTAAAAAACTCCATTTTCACATTCAAACAAAAGTTTGCCCTTTTATAGAAACAAATTGTGTGCCCCCCCCCCCCCCGGAAGAATCAATATTAGTAAACATTTTAAAGTAGGACTGGCTAACTTAAGCATTAAGAAATCTAGAATCTTGTAAAGGGAAGTAACTAATGTTTACATTCATCATATTAAACAGAATGGTGTTTATTTGTAAATACATGTACATGAAGTTAAGTTTAAAAAGCAACTGTAATATTAATTTAAAAAAACAAAACGGTGAAATGCGTTTCAAAATAGTGTAGAAGCTACAATAAGTGTATGTAATAAATATTTAAATTTCAGAACCAGAATTTTGGACCTGTGGTGGTTCCTTCTGAATATTCAGTTTTCTGCTTTTTATTATTCATTTATTCAAATGAGGCCAGGCGGCCATTTTTTTTCTTTTTTTTAAATTGCGCAATCTAACCTTTAAATATAAGTTCCGAGAACAAATTTTCGAAGAGGCCAGTGGCCTGGCGGTCTAGCTCGCTGACCGCCAGGCGCCGGGTCCCCGGATCAAATCCAGCCGGGGACCCGGGAGGAGAATTTTTCTTCATAGCAGTGATAAATTTAAAAAAATATATAAAATAGTAGCATGGAGCAGGGTTGAACCGCGTACCTTCTGCATGCCAGCTCTCTCTTTTTCCGCTCTGCCATGGCACTTTCTTGAAAATTTATCCGGTTTTCGTAATTAAAACCCTTAGGTTGTTGGACTTAGACAATTTTTCAGCTTTGGCCAGAATTTCAGAAATCAAGGGGTACCCCTTGAAATTTTTTCAGATCTGAGGGTCTGGCTGGGAGGTTGAGAAGTTGGGAGCTGAAGGGGTTTGGAGCTGGAGGGTAGGCTTTGGGACTTTGGGCTGACTGGTTGATGGGGAACTGGACTATTAGTTGATGGGCTTCCAAATTTCTGCAAGTTGAGGGGTTGGGAATTTATATAAGTTTTGGGCTTGTTGGACTTGGACTTTTTAGAGGTAATGGGGCTGACTTAGACTTTTTTAGAGGTAATCATGGTAATGGGGCTAGACTTGGAGTTCGCAATATTATTGCTGCTTAGGATAAGTGTCTTTGGGCTTGCAGGACTTGGAGTTTATTGGGCTGGACTTAGATTTGGGAATATCATTTCTAATTACTTGGACTAAATTTTGGATTGTATACCTGGACTTCTTTTTTGAAGTTCTGCCCTGTCCTGAAAGTTCAGATCAGTCTTCGCAGCCAATCACCAGTCAGACTGGTAGTTAGCCTTTTCCTTTTTTGGAGACTGCTGCACTTGTTGATGCCTGATAAAGACCATACGTGTATATGATTGCTGGAATGCTGGTTATTAGTGGTGTGTGAGGTGGATGTAGACTTCTTAGCATGAGGGTCTTGATACAACCTGGTTGAAGGGCCTTCCTCACTTGACCGTGTAGCGTGCCGTCAGAATAAGTTTTCATGCTTCAGTGATTTTGTATGGCTCATCGCCTTCTCTTGTCAAGGTTTTTTAGAGGTCACATGATAGTCGGGTGCCGGTGAAAATATAAGAATTTTTTCTTTTTTTAAGAAGTAACGGTTCAACTTTGCAATTTTTCTGAGGTACATGTAGGCCATAATTTTTGCAATTATTAGATTTGTTTCTCATACATTTTCTAAAAAATCCATTGTCGCGCTTGAAGCAGCAATTTCAAAGAGCGTAGAAAAGTGAAGAAATGTACTCATTAAGGAATTGTGCAAGACTTTTTGGTACAATGCATGATAAATGCAAGGTTACATTTTCTACGGCTTTTGACTATATTTTGCATTTGTACACGTTTAATCGTTTTTTATAGTTACACAATTTCTCTTGAAATTTTATGGGGTTCTTAAAGACTTTATGAACAATCAATGGATACAATTTTAATTAAACTCAACAGGTATTTCCAGCGTCATCATACTTGTGTGTCATTCTTGTAACGCATTTGGAATATTTTTAGTTTCAATTGAAATTTTCACACCGAACATACTCTGTTTTTTTTTTGTTTTTTTTTTTGTCAATTGCTGTTGAAATTTAGTAGGTTTTTAAAGACATCACAGCAAATAAGTGTGTAGGTTGTTTGGCTTTTTTTGGCATAGGGCTGATTTTAATTCTGATTTTACTTTGCTCACTATTGTTTTGGCTACATTAACTGTATTGTTTGATAAATCCTGTTGAAATTTACAGACTTCACAAAAAAGTCATAATTAATCAATTGTGGAATTTTCATTTGAATAAAATGGCTATTTCTCAAGTTATCATCTGGATGAGTGTGGTTTGTTTTATTAAAGATTGACTAAGTTCTCATTGTACTTTTTTTTTTACTGAATTAACACTCTCTGATGTTAAATTTGACACTTCCTCTTCGAATTTGGGCTTTTTATAGTTTTTTATTTATTTTTTTTATTTTTTTTATTTTATTTTTTTTAATTTTTTTTATGCATGTATTCTGTCATGACCACAGCAGGATAAGTGTTCCTTACACCTCTGCACTAGGCAACAGCACTAATTTCATGTTGGTTGATGTTAAGCTGTACGAAGCAAGCCAGGCCACACTGTGGTATTTTCATAAGCCACTAATTTTTCGTAGGCCTAGACATAGTTCCTACTCTGCTTATAGGTCTCTCTCTCAAATGACGTCACTTCCTACAGATTGCCACGCGCATCAGCGTTTTGGCCGTCAATTCTTCGTGATACGCATCGGCTGCGCCATATTTCGAAGACATTCCGAGCAAACGAGCGCGTGTTAAAATATTTTGCGGACTATGCGCACATGTACCTGACACTCAGTTGTGATTTTTCAACAAAGATTGCGTCCTACGAGAGAGATCTTTTGGATAATCCGGGCCTCGTTACCACAACCAACCAACAAACAAAATTTCAATTGACTTGCGTTCTGACTGTACTTTTTCCACTAAACACACTCCATTGTGTTATATTTTATTGTTGCAAGAAAAACTATGGGAATTGTTACGCACTCCCTTTTATTCTAGATTTGTATCTGCACATGTGCACTTAATCATGCCATAGAGCTATAGTAAATTATTAGAGAGCTTTTTCATATATGAATAGGATGAAGCTTGCTGGGCGCATGCATCCATGTTTGTGCAAAAATCAAAGAAATTAGCTCAAAATGTTGTACCTGTACATGTATATTCTAAAACATTTCAAAGCTGTTAGTGTAACTTTAATTTCATTCGTCAGTGCTTTGCGCTGCACAGATTTGGGATTTTTCTCACTGTTTATCACTTTTTTGGGATTTTTTTCACTTGGGATTTAGACCACATGCCTGCATCGGAAATATATTTTAGCTACATGTACAGAAGTGCACAAAACCCAAAAATATTGATTTCATACTGGCGACAGGACTTTCACATCGATCTCGCTACATGTACATTCTTCATACTGTGTTAAGCTCGGACAACTTCGAAGTGTGCAAGGCAATGAGGAGTAAATGCTCTCATAGTTTACTACAGCTCTATGGAAATGAAATTCTAAATGATACACTACTATGATTGAGACAACAGAGGTCAAAGGTCACCCAGGTTCACTGACCTTGATGTTGTAATGTACATGTCAACAAAACATATTGTTAACCAGGGTAGCTTATCATCTTTTAACATACAAAATCAAGCAAAAAAGCAAATTCAATTTGTTAACAGTTAGGCCAAAAAAAAAAGTCTTCGGTTTCTGGTATGGAGCTTGCCCCAAAAGTGGTGCGGCAACGCGTTTTTTTTTTTTTTTTAACTAGTCAAATATCGGCTGATGACTGGCAAATGGTGACCTACTAAATTCAGTGCAAAAGGTATGGGAGCCCAGAGAGGCCACTTAAAGCTTACACTCCATCGTAACCCCATCTAAAAACACGTTAAAATTGTGCAGCAGCAGGACTCCAGTCAAACCAGTGAGTTTGGCGATTTTGAGACATCATCTTTGAAAAAAAAAAACTTCTAATTTTGCCAATGCGCATTGCTATGGCGATGCGCGTGCAGACCAGAAACTGGAGCTTTTTTTGGCTTAACATAAATGAAGTCAAATAAAAAAATGAATTGCTGTTTACAATCATCTTCCATTTCACAGAATTGTTCCTTTTTATTTTAACCAAGGCTTAATTATTTTGTTAAATTATTCTTTTCTCGTAATTATACCATTAACAAATTCTTTCGGGCAAGTAAGGCAACAAACCCACAGACAAATACACGCATAGACCGCTGGGTCCTATTCAGAACTACAGTAGCATTTAGTGATTTTATACCAAGCGCCCGACTAAAATCAAAACGAACAAATTCACCTCTTGATATATAGGGTTTTTGCATACACTTGAAGAGTTCCAGTCAAACATGTAACAAGAAATTATGAAGTTAGTTTTTGATTGTAAACAAATCCATTGTGAACTAAATACGAGTTTACAACTTTTGCGTAATACAGCCCTTACCAAAATAATTTATAAATTGTATTTCAATGTATGTACCATATTAAGCATTTTGGCGCATTGAACCAGCACTGCGTAGTTATGCACGCTGTCAACAAACAATTTGCCATATAACCAAATCACACTTTCAAGTGCCTGACTGGCGGTCTATGCGTCTATTTGTCTGTGAAAAAACCCCAGATAGCATTATGGCGCCCTCTATGGCTGCTGGACATCTAAGAAAAATTATTAACTTAACTATCTCTTGTGGATGCTGCGGCTGTGATGAACAGCGCCCTCTATAGGAATGGAAGGAGAGGTGTCGTCATGTCACATGACCGGCTGGCTTTATGCTCCCCAAACCTGGGAAAATGGAAGACAAAATTGCAAATTAATAAATTTATGTTAAAAACATGAGGATTGTTTTGTTGGGTGACTGGGGGTGTAGTTCTGATACCAACTACATGCAATGATGTGAAAATATTATTTCAGAACGCGTAGTTTGTGTCCAACTATTTTAGGCCCCCCCCCCCCCCCCCCGGGGGAAATGGGAATGGAAAATACTATTGAACAGTTAGGATCGTTTTCGTTCCATTCCGCGGATTTAGCTTGCAAATGCCGGTGTGTGTGTTAAACGTTGCGAAAAGCGTGTGTTGTTCGTAAGAGCCAGTAGCTTCAGAGTTGGGTTCAAACGTTTTGTGAAAGGGTGGTTTGGAAGAGAGAAATACATTTCCCACAAATTTTTAACAGTAATCAAATGACAAGGATCTGTATGTTAGTTAAAGAAAACAAATGTTGATTGGCTTCAAATTGTAAAATGGGAGGAATATTATCGCTCGGTAAAATCTGGACTTAAACGTCCAGATTTTACCTGGCGTTAATATACCTCCCATTCCACTCCGAGCCACTCAATATTTGTATATTTCTGAGCAGGTACTTTAGACCTCTTAACGTTTAACAACTGCAAAACTTGGGCATTCACTACATCAGGAATATATTGCGCCTGGCCTAAAGAAGGATTTTGCAGGAACTACTCAAGGAATTTAAGTTTAGAAATAATGACAGGTTTAAAAAGTCTCCCAATTGCTGCAGCTAGTAACAATGCACATATATATGAAAGCGGCTGATAGACACGTGTTACTGACGACCACGTGAGGCATTCTGGCAAAATGAGACAGAACTGGGCAGAAGTTGAAATGGGGATTTGCAGGTATTAGGCAAAAGAATAAAATTCTCCTTACAATACTGTTTACTTTCAATAGGAAATTCTGTTGACAAGTTATGGCCCCCCAACAAAGTCTCGGTTTCTGGTATGTGCGCGCGTTGCCGTAGCCATGCGCGGTGGCAATATGAAAAGTTTTTTTCAATAAAAGATGATGTCTCAATACCGCCAAACTCACTGGTTTGACTAGAATCCTGCAGCTGCACAATTTTCACGTGTTTTTAGATGGGGTTATGATCAAGAATAAGCTTTATGTGGCCTCTCCCGACTCCCATATACATGTATTTGCACTAAGTTTAGTCGGGCACCATTTGCAGTCATCTGCCGACATTTGAAGCAAAAAAGACAGGTAAAAAAAAAAAAAAAAGCCGCGTCGCCGCTCCACTTTTTGGGCAAGCTCCATACCAGAAACCGGAGACTATTTTTTTTTTGGCCTATGGATCTCTTTAAACTTTGCTTTTATCGACATGTAAAAAAAGCAAAATACTGAGAAAAAGGCCTGGCTGTAAAAACTTCGAGTTTTGTATTCACGAAAATGAACGATGCCAATTATCTTATCTTAAAAACTCTTGTATTCCATGATTTTTAGACTACCTGTTTTGCTTACTTATACGAATATCACTCTGAAAATCAGCAAAACAACCCAAAAAATCCCCCTATCATTTGTTTCTTGCATTTTTCCTCCACTACGGCCTGTGCTCAGTTGCGTCTCATTTTGCCAGAATGCCTCACATATATAGCCTGATAATATTGACACGGACTTAAGCTTTGAGACAGGACCCACCTTTGGATTGGTGCCATGAACGTTGCATGGCGGCTACAGGGTTCCAGACCGTTCCTGCCATTCCATGAGCTGTCACCCCTCCCCCATCTCCCATGGCCATGGTATGATGCATGCCAGACATTGGCTCATGTTGCTCACCAAACCGGCTGACAGGTGTCTGTAGGAAATAACCAGGGGAATAAAGTTAGAGCTCGCAAGCATGATGACATTTCAGTAACGTCTTGAGATACACAATTAAGGTACATCAAGGCACATGAGGTTTTCATTTCTTTATTTGATTTTCTCAATGATCGCTGCTCAGTTTTTGCTGGTCCAAGAGCGCCAGCCTACAGTCCTCTTTGTACCCCATGGCTCGACTCACTGTCACTTGTGAGCTGGGCAGTGCTGTTGTATAGGATTACCCTGTAACACCAATTAATGGACTAAATCAATTGAATAGGACTGTGTGTACTCTGGACCCGAAATGTGTTTTTTTTTTTAACTGTTTCCAAGTCCTGAACTCATGCAGATTGCAATGGATGAAGTGGGGGGGGGGGGAGCAGGGGTAAGATGCTTACCAGGTATTTGGAAGCCATCCTCTCTTGACAGTGTCTAGATGGAAGAAGTTAGCCTGGTATGTCTTCTTAGTTGCTACTTAAGATCCACTGTCACTGCTGCTTCCTTGGGGGGGGGGGAAGGGAATTCAGAAGACAAAGAAGTTTTTTAAGGAAAACATTCTCTTGGATGGATGACAACTAACATTTTGCTAATCCACATGTGCTGTGTGTCATTTGGGTTTGAAAATCACAGTAGTTTCTTTTTAAATTCAATTTTCCTGGCCTGAACGTAAATGTAATCATATCCCTGAGTTGATTTTTTACAGCATGTTTTAATCAAGAAGGATGCTTTGGCTATAATTCCTTCAATTAGGATTTTTAAGTACCAGTATACTGAGCCAAGACAATCTGGGACTATTTCACATTGCTCTTATCTTGATGCTCCAGATATAGTCAGTTTTTATGCCTCTTATGAAAGTGTGGGTACATCTAAAACTGAGCTTACCTGGTGTATAAGCCCAGATGCTACTCCCTGGTGAACCAACAGGGTAACCCAGATCACTGACAGGTACAACAACAAAGCTGACAGGTGTCTTGCGTTGCCCTCGACTATGCTCATTGCTGATTGGAATTGGTAAGCGACGATCTTGACCAATGGCTGCTGGAGGCGGGGCCCTGAGACTGGTCAGTTGCCATGGTGACCAGACCGAGCACAGTGGTTGCTGAACGAAGATGAGCATCGCTGGATATGAATGAGCCGTCTACAATGAAATTGAATGTAGAAAAAATACAATCAAACTTAATGAGAAACATATGAGTACAGCTGTAGTTTTAGGCCACAACGAAGTCCGTTTCCCAGTGAACCTCAGCACCTAGACCAGCCAACCTGTCCCTATATGCAAGAGTTTGTTTTAAAGAATTGAAGCTTTTTTAAACAAATGTGCCATTTTTTGTTCAAATTTGCTGTTTTTTTGTCAAATAACCATAATTTTTTTGCAGAATTCTGCCAGAAATCTGCCAAAAAAATCTATTCTGTCAAATTTTCTGTCAAACTCGTTTTTTAACAAAAATTCTGTCAAAGTTAGCCTAAAATCGGCTAAAACGGTCACCCTGGCGCCGAGTGCAATTGGCACGCACCCCACATTACTGCCTCCATCCCCCAGCCAAACTTTGATCCTTCCCGAGTATGCCTAGCCTACGTAAAGCTCGTTAACTGATAGTTAAAACAAAAGCTATCGGCACGTGCGGGTCGACCAGAGGCCTAATAATCATATTGGGTTCACGGCGTCTGTAAAGTGTTTCGTATGTCTGATCGATCCCAGCAGGGAAACAAGTCTGAGGGAAACAGATTTGGTCCCTCAATTTCACGATTCCAGTTGAGATTATTATTATATTATTATTATTTCCTTAAATACTGATGTCTGATCCCAGCAGGAACACAAGTCTGAGGGAAACAGGCTTGGTCCCTCAATTTCACGATTCGAGTTGAGCTTATTATTATATTTATTATTATTTCCTTAAATACTGATGTCTGATCCCAGCAGGGAAACAAGTCTGAGGGAAACAGGCTTGGTCCCTCAATTTCACGATTCGAGTTGAGATTATTATTATATTTATTATTATTTCCTTAAATACTGATGTCTGATGATCGATCCCAGCAGGAACACAAGTCTGAGGGAAACAGGCTTGGTCCCTCAATTTCACGATTCGAGTTGAGCTTATTATTATATTTATTATTATTTCCTTTAATACTGTTCCACAAACTTATAACAATAGGCGGCCTTTCTGATTTTACACATACAACTTCCCCATATTAATTACAAGCAAAGCACTGAGGTAAAGGCTATGTATGCCTTTTAAATTCTTTCCTTGCTTATCTTTTATTTATATTATATTTGTTATTTGAATTTTTCCCTGTTTAATATTATAAAATCATTGGAACACTAGCATTTCCGTGGTGCAAACATTAAATTCAGCTAAATGCTTCAGTTTATCAGGCTTCGGGCATGACATTGTTTTTAGCCTCTTGTAATAACAGTTTCGGTTCTAATTCTGTGCTGATTTTTCAACTTTGATTATAGACCTGTCCTGTGACGCGGCCGAAGAAGGGGGGGGGGGTGGGCTTGGGGAGGGAAGGGGAGGGGGGGGGGGGGGGGAAGGAAGGGGGAGGGAAGGGGGGAGAGGGAAAGGAGAAATTTGACCCCTAATAATTTAGACCTGCTTTCATAGATACCCAAGTTTTTACTTTGCCTGCCCCCCCCCCCCCTCTTGAAAATATCCTAGTGACGCCTGTGGGCCTGTTTGATTTTACATAAAATGCTTCAATGCTGCTTAAATACTACTTTCCCATGCCCGTTATTTGATGTACATGTACATGTGTGATACGCAGGTTGGTTTGATGTGATTGACAGCATTCAAGTTTGAACTAAAAAAGAATATACATAAAAAACAACAACAGTAGTAGAATATCTGTTAAGACAATTGTATTCGTTGATTGTTTGTGGCATGCATGGCTGGCTTTATTTTTACGAGGTAGGCTGAGGTAGGGTTTCTTTGCCGATAACTATCCTCAAAAGTTTCCAAAGCTTAACTTTTTTTTTAATTCAACTGCAATTCACTTTCTACGCTTAAAATTTTGTCAGTGAAAAGCGGAATTCACAATAAATTAACATTTATAGCAGTTTTTGATGCTGCGTTCTAAATAGGGTAGCACTACGATAGGCCGACTTTTAATTTTATGGAGGGCAGGTGTCCGGTGAAAAAAACTTGTCTAACTTTCAGCATGGAAGGAAGAAATGTTTGGGCACCCCTCCATTGTAACCTCAAGCCCCCCCCCCCCCCCCCCGGTTGAAATGAGGATTTGCAGGTATTAGGAAACAGAATAAAATTCTCCTTACAATACTGTTTAACTTCAATAAGACATTCTGTTGACAAGTTATGATTCACTTTAAACTTCGCTTTTATCGACATATCACAAAAGCAAAATGCCGAGAAAAGGACCTAGCTGTATTAAAGGTTCAAGATTTGTATTCACGAAAATGAAAGATGGCAATTACCTTTCCTTAAAAACTCTTGTATTCCATGAATTTTAGACATGTTTTCACTTACTTACCAATGTCAAAACATCTGAAAATCGGCCCCGAACCAAAATCACCCCTTTCATTTTTTTTGCATTTTCCCTTCACTATAACCTGTGCCCAGTTCTGTCTCATTTTACCAGAATTCCTCACAAAACACGTATAGCCCGAAAAAATTGATATGGACTTAATTAAGCTTTGAGACAGGACCCACCTTTGGATCGGTGCCATGAAGTTGCATAGCAGCTACGGGGTTCCAGACCGCTCCTGCCATTCCATGAGCTGTCACTGCTCCCCCATCTCCCATGGCCATGTTATGATGCATGCCAGACATTGGCTCATGTTGTTCACCAAACCGGCTAACAGGTGTCTGTCGGAAATAACCAGGGGAATAAAGTTAGAGCTCGCAAGAGAGAGATATATAGATATAGAGATATATAGCAGTAGCTACATGTACTTTTGTAACAATGTTTCACATTGTGGCTGGGAGGCTTTTTACAAAAATGGCTAAAGTTGTTTTAGTTTTAAATTGGCCCAAATTGGCAGAAACACACGGCTGTTACCATGGGCACGTGTGGTCTATCGGTAGAGCACAGGATTCATGATCGTAAGGTTGTGGGTTCGAGCCCCGCCGTGGCCATGTGTGTTTTGCCCTTAAGTAAGGCGCTTTACCTCAATTACTTCTCTAAATGAATGGGAAGGTAACAGACTCGCTGTGGAGGAGGTGTGGCGATCCCCCCACAGCAGCATATGAGTCTGGCCCAATTGCTAACAATCGAGATGGGCACTCTGTTCCTGTGAACACAGGTTCGTCCCCTTTACCTTTACTTTTTGTTGTAACCATTGCAATTGGTCTGATTAGAATTTAAAATGTCTTTTTGGTATTAAGCTCACATACATGATGCATGACATGTAACAGCTTTTTTCCCCATATGATACATGTAACCTGCCGAAAATAGATATTAACACTCAGGGGCGGTTGTATGTACGGGGGGGGGGGGGGGGGGGGGGGGGGGGGCTAGGGGGGGCAGTAGCCCCAAAAAATTGTCTAGCCCCCCCCAAAATAAATTCCGTACAAAACAAATTGCATTAGCAAAAAGAAGGATTGTGATGTACATGCAAACGGCCTCCCCCTAAAGAAGAAATAGCCGTGACAAGGGTGCATTAGTTAATATAGTGTGAATGATTTGAGGATTTCATTGGCGCTCCCCATTGAAAATATGGCATGAGCCCTCTCCCTCCCCCCCCCCCCCCCCCCCCCCCCCCCCCCCCCCCCCCCCCCCCCCCCCCCCCCCCCCCCCCCCCCCACCACCTATTGATTTTTTGGAGGCCTAAGTGTCTGGAAAAAATAACCGGTCAACAATTCAGCACGCCTCCCTGAAAAATTTTTGGATCCACCGTGCTAGCCCCCCCCCCAAAAAAAATATGGTTCTAGAACCCCGCCTGCAAACACTATTTTGGTTATTTGCTTACTCCTCAAGTCCCTTCCTCCCACAAAACATACAATTTTTGACTGTCCATGGATAATGTATCGGGCTTTGCTTTGGAACCGGGTACCCAAGTACCCGACAGCTGATGTCAGGAACTGGTTCCAATTATGGAATCGAGTACCCATAATTAACTTAACATATACTAACTTATCAATGTCTCAGGCAATGAAAAAGAAATATTTTGAATGTCATTTATGGGAAATTTTCAAATTGAAAACCAGGCTACAGTGAAAAATGAAACAGATTCACGTTTTTGATGCTTGTGAAAATGCAAATTTACACTGTGAAGCTAAAAAGCTCTCTGTACACACTTGTATCTTGCTGTATTGACACCCCGATATGGTAGTATTATCGTGCAGACCTTCATGAACAATGCGAACAGCAACTTCCGAGAGAAACATTTTGGGGTAAGATTTCTTTAACGGGAACCCATTTTTTTTTCAATAGGGTACCTGATTCTTGTACTACCCGTAAATGCACACGTACATTTACCCTATAACAGTATAATAATGTACCTAAGGAAACTCCATTACTGTAAGAAAAATTGCCAATTACATGTGCATATGTACAGTGGACAGTCGCTATATCGAACACTGTTATTCGGCTATACCGAATGTAGCTGCAAGTTGTGAAATTTGATTTGGGTTTAATCACAGTTGTTATTTCAAAGTGTTTTCTTACTTTGTAATTTGAGATCACGCATATACCTTTGATTGGGAAATAAGTTTGTTGCGGTAACATTGTTTGGGTTCTTGTGTACTTTCGTTATAGCGCCCTTTTTTGATATCGTACATTTGTGAGGTCAAAGTTGAAACACTTTATGATTCTGATGATTCATAAATAATTGCCATGTACCAAATTTATCTCCCCAAATAATGTGAAATTATTAAGGTTCCTCAGTCCCAAATGTTGTAGATTCGGATTCCAACACAATCGGTAAACTTTATATTGTTTTATTCAATTTACTGTATTCTGAGTGATTTGAGATTATTTGCACCTTTTGTAAGTGAAGTTTTCAAAGTTTTGGGGCGATAACTTACATGAGCATAATGAATGCAATTATGTCAAGTGAAGGCTCAAACACATTTATTTGGTTGATGAATCTGAACAGTTTTAAGGTTTCCTGTAATTGTTACAAAAGTTAAGTATTATAATATTTGTTATATTACAGTGAACCCGCACCACAAGCACCAAATGCAGCCCCACCATACTACTAGCTGCCTCATCAGTACAAGGGTGCGTGCAGATGGGGGGGGGGTTGCCAAAAATTATTAATCGTGGCCGGTGCATGCATAGAACAACTAAATATGAAGGTACCCTAAAAATTCCATGACTGTAGGTTTAGGGGTTTTGGAATTATCGGCTAATTAATTATTGCACCAATGGTAATTCTGCTTTGTGTACACTAAATAACCCATGGTCGGAATGTTATGTTATTGGCATCAAAAGATGCGTAAGACGTACTCGAGGCTAAACAATCAGGAAAGCTGGAGTCAGGACAACAATTTTAGCAAGGGTATCGCCGAAAAAGTTGAGGGGGGGGGGCTGATTCTGCCCCCACCCCTTTGCCCTTAATACTGGGTTCATAATAGGGTTAACTGTCCAAAAATACATATCATGTGCCTTGCAGTGAACAATATTTGACCTATTATTATCTTTTTGATGTTGTTTTCCTCTTACATGTAAAAGGGATGTTTCTCCAAACAATTAAGAAAAAACTATAACAGCATGCAGTTTTCATCTTGCTTCATATCTCTCATGTCCCACTTCTGGTTTCCCACTCTCATGTCCCAATATTGTGACATTACACTAGTAATACCTACCCTGGTACCGTAGTCATGTTCATCCATTTCCCTGAGCGTGCACTGGCTACGACCTCCCCGAAGCCCTTCTGAATGGTGGGGATCTCAGACGGCATTGGGGGGACTAACTCCACACGGGCGTAGTACCAGAACTTGGATAGTCTGGGCCGAGTCCAATGCATCTATGAAGAGAGAAGAAGGCAACAACAAAAAGGGTAGTTTTGGGAGATGTATAGCCATGTACAAAAGTGATTATGGTTAAGATTTCACTGTCTCTTTTGTACTACGCAGTTGCCAGCTGAGTTTTTCTACATGTGTATGTCATGTACATGTACATGTATGTGGTCGATTACTCCTTATCATTTGACCACACTTATGTGGTTGATTTTCCCACTGGACCAGTGGACCGAGGCCAGTTATTTTGGTGCTGGTCTTGCAGCATGAAAACAATACAAGTCCGGTGGTCTAGTGCTTGTTCCGGAACATTTGCAAAATGTTCATCTTCATCTTATTCCAATGAATTTGTACAAAAAATAAAAGTGAAAAATCAGGTCCCTAACCCAGCTCAATCCTAGTCCATGTAGCCACTGTCTATTACATAATAACACTAACAGATTCACTGATTAATTAGGCAAGACCCCGCCTCTTGACCTTACAGGCAGGCAACTGGCAATTTAGAAAAAAAAAGAGGAAACTCCTAACCACACAACATCATTTTGTACAGTGTTTTTCAATTTGTAATGGCATTCATTTCTTCTTCTTTTTTTTGCTTTTGGCATTTACTAGATCTTTATTGTCATACATCATTACTATAAAGTTGTGTCCCGAAGACTGCATGATGACATCATGTATCAAATTACATGCAATTAAAGATCAATCCTCCTGCTGTTCAAGTAGTCACAAACAGTCACAAACTTCACTTCCACTTACCCTTTGAAGGGTGTTTTGTGAGGGGGGGGGGGGCTCGGATAATTTACAAAGGAGAATAGTTACTCGCGGATTACAATACTTCCTTGGTGTTTTTGTGTATTTTGTGTGTGTGTGTGTGTGTGTGTTTTTTTTGGGGGGGGGGGGGGGCTCAGATAATTCTTAGAGGTGCCACAGCTGTTTTGACAGCGCTAGGGATCATGATAGTTAGCAAGCAATGTTAGTCAAGGGGGGGGGGGCGGTACCATCTGTTTGTGGGGTGCTGTTCAAAACCGACCGATATTCACACTAACGGACAATATATGGGGATATTCAGGGCGGTATGTGCGTCAAATTACAAAAAAATAGGCACCCCAACGGCCGCTGGCACAAAAAGGGCACCAATTTTTTTTTTTTAATAAGGCACTTGTTCAGAAAAAAAAGGACACTTCTTAATAAAAAAGGGCACTCCTACAAAAATTGGGGGGGGGGGTTAAGCGCCGGGGAAAAAGGGCATTTCAATGGAAAAGGGAATACTGCACTGCATGTCAGACCCAGCTTCTCCCCCCCCCCCCCAGCGCAACATGGGCGAATTGTCACTGACATGCGCAAATACTTAACACCAGATCAAAGCCACACCGCCCCCCCCTCTCCCTTGCCAAACCAGAATACGCCCCGTGTAGACAGATAAAGACTGTTCTTAACAGAACAAAAAACACTTAGCAAAGTTGATAATAAGCAGGACAAGTTCTTCTCAGAACTACTATCTTCTAAGCAGTAGTTATTACCACATGGTGTTACCGCAAACAGAAAAGATACAGATAAAGAATGCTTAGTACTGATGAGAACCCAAAATCTATTTGGGTCGTCTGCAGGCCAGTGATGGACACACTGGTGCAGCCACTGATCCCGTAAATGCATAGGATGTGTGGACCCCCTCCCCCACCCCACAAAGGGAGGTCCATGCCCCTGCGTTCACCCCCCCCCCCTCCCTAAAATCTTGAATTACGCCAAAGCAGTATATCAGTTGCCTTCAGTGCCAACCAGCGGCGTCTCTTACAGGCTATATACATGTATAGGTCTACCTACATGTAACTTCTCCTTAACCATTTTTTTTTTGAGGAAATAGAATTCCACAAAAATTCGAACAATAATCGGCAGTCTTTTTAATTTCCCCGTTTTACTTCTTCATTTTAATTAACCGCAAAGCAATAGATAATTGTTATTTCATATGCATTTGGCAAATATTCCTTGTTTATCCTTTTGTATTTTTTGGGGTCTATCTTTTCCTGGTTAAACTAACTTCAAAACATTGATTACTTATCGGCTGGAAAGAAATGAAAATATAATTATTTTACAAAGGAAACATTCTTGTTATTTTCATTGTTTGAATTTGTTTTAAAGTTAACAACGAAAGGGGAAGTAAATTTCATTATTTATCAGTGAAAGTCGCATGCATGTTTTACCTCATTGAGTTGCGGAGGTTTTTTCCTGTCCTGTTAGAGCCCTATTAAAAACATTAAACTGTACGAGGAAGTGAAAATATTTAGTTCAATGAACCTAGTTGTTTAACAAAGCTGTCAGTACTGGTATATAAAATATTGTATAAGAGGGTTCTTCCTCTTGAGAACTCATTAAAGCTGCTTTGGGTTACTACGATGACAAGCATGTCCTTATAACAATGGCGTCTTTCAACTTGATCGTTGTGGTATGGCTGGCTTTATTTTTACGAGGTAGGTATTTTTTTCCTTTCAATTTTTTTTTTTTTTTTTGGGGGGGGATTCATTGCCGATTGCTATCCACGAAAGATTCCTCAGCCTAAATGTCTTCACGATACCTTTTAAATACATGTTCTGAAAATGTGATTGATTTCCCTTTACTCGTACTATTAATTAATTCATAAAAAAGAGGACTTCACACAAACCTATCAGATAATAGCGTATACATGTACAGTACTTTTAATTATGGAATACATGTAGCTTTGGGTTACCATTTCAATGGCTAGATTAACAAAGGAAAAAATTCTCCTGGGTACTGTTGATTTATCTGTGGACCTACCTCTGTACCCAAGGGCGGATCCAGAACACAATGTTTTTGGGGGCCAAAAGAAAAAAAATCCCCCCCCCCCAAAAAAAAAGGGGGTCAAAAACAGCTACGGTATGGGGTTCGGGGCCCGCTTAAGGATCCCGACCCTTTTTTAAAAATTTTAAACGCTCTGTGGTGCGATCCGAGGCAATTTCTGACCACTTTAACCATTTTTTTCGAGCAAAAGATGGTGGTGAACCCAGTGGCTGCCGTTTTTACGACGTCACTTAAAAAAAGAAGGTTTTTTTCGGGGGGGGGGGCATGACCCCGTGCCCCCCCCCCCCCCCGGTCCGCCCATATGTCTGGTCTGTACCTTGAAGAATATTGACTATTAAATGCAGTGGCGTAGCAAGGTCGTTTTTATCAGACAAATCTAATTCTGAAACTTATGGTTTGTAACTTGCGACGTTGTGCCCGAAACCATCGGCAACCGATGACCTGCTAGTCATGTGATGGACGGCTAGTATTAAATGCCTTGAATTGTCCGGTCAACAAAAATGGTGAGATACACTTCATCTAATGCATTGGACCGGCCGAGCAAGGCATTCCCTGCCGTCTACCCCGAGTGACGGTGCTACAAGCCAACATGGTCTTTTGAAACGATGCGGTATAGTGTACTCATGCCTTTTCTGGGTACAAGTAATCATGCAGAATTGCCTACCGCCATGAGTGAACGCAAAAGTGCAAAGGGGAACAAAAATAAAAACGGGCATTTTAGAGAAATAAAGACTTCTTACCTAAGCAAAAATGTTTTAATCTTGACCAAATTTTTGAGAAAGGTAATGTATATTTTGATGCCATTATATATAGCCTGTGAGTAATCTCTGGTTCTGACTCAGCTGAACAGCTTCAAAACTTTTTTTCAGCATACCATGGACAGAAGTATATATGGGATCTTTTAGCAAAACGTGCATAACTTTCAATCTTTGCCAAGATTAATTTTTCTTCACGAGTGGAAGACCAAGCTGTTTCATTGCTGTATCCATTTTTTTAAAGAGGAAATTATGATTGATCCATGTAGTTTTCTTCTTGATGCATCCTGTATTCAAATACTTTTCCCATACACAGCAAAATATGCGGGCTTTGTCCAAGTGCTTAGGAAAAACAATGACGTACATACATGTAGTCAGGGATGTGTTATAAATGAAAATTGAAATCACATGAGACGTCATCATATGAGTTTTCATTAAAATTTCCATTTTTATTATCTTATTTGCATATCGCACGTACGAAACAAGCTCAAATCATCTTTTAAGGGTTTGGAAGGTCACAGATACATGCACAACAATTTGACAAGGGGGGGGGTGGTTCATCGTCATCGATTTTTAAAACACATTAAGGAACGTCTGATCGTCTTAAAACGTTATGGGTTGTTAGATTATTCGTGGTGGGTAGGCAACAGAACTAGTAATAAGTATGCAATTTAAAAAATGACGTCATTATGACGTCAGTAATCGAATTTTTCTAAAACTTTAAACTTTAAATTTTTTCTACTCTCCAAACAAGACTTACAATATAATCCCATTGTTTTTAAACTGGCACAAACAAAGCGCCTATAGTAAAGATTGTCCTAAAAAAGTGACGTCACGATGACGCCATCATTGGTCATGTGACGTTATCATAATGGTGCATGTATTTAACGAACCGTGCGTCCGATTGGGTAGAAGGTAGCAGACCAGTAAATAAACTTCCATAGAGCCCAATGGTAAATGCTCCCACTTCAAAAATTCGGGAAAAATACTCACAACTCTCCAAGGTGTTCGAGACACACATTAAATTAAAGCTTATTTCATCATCTTTCATTTTCTTTTCAATTTTCGGGGGGTCAACTGATGACTTTTAGGAGAAAGTTCCATCTGAAGATGATCACCCCTGAAAATAGTCCTGAAGCCCATCGCCATTTTGAAAAACGATGCCTACACTCCATTGCAAAATAGAGCGCTTTTAGGGTCCAAATTACATCAAAATTACACAGAACTGCAAGCTCCCGGTCCTGTGCACGGCTTCCACCCATATTTTTTACAAAGTCTCAAGTTCATGGCCCACAGCATGCTCAAATACCGAAGTTTTGAGGGCATGCAAATCGTGATTTGGCCGGCGCAGGCAATTTCGGACCGATTTACTGGTCTGCACCCTATAAGAAGCGAGGTTTTGAAAAATTTCCCCAAACCACTTGTACGGCACGAGGAAGGATGGATGACTCATATTTCATCAAAAAATTGCAAGAAAAAAAAATTTCTGACTGCGATTTCTGGCCTGAAAACAAGCCCTCTGTTTGCGGCTACCTTACTGCAGGGCGCCCCCAACGGGCGTTAATTGCGTTTTTGCTCCTTCCGACCCCAAATTACCCCCCCCCCCCCACCTTGTTCGCTCGAAATTGCTGTGATCGGACGACGGTCCATCGGCCCTATTCAGATTTTGGGCGCATTGTTGCGGAACCGCCATTGGTGACCCCTTTTGAAACGCTGCCCCCCCCCCCCCCCCCCCCCACAGGTTCCGCCCCCTGAAAAAAAAAAAACACTCGGC